AAAACCCGAGTGCAATTGACTACCCAGGGCGCCCAGGTACTGCCGCGTGCATGTTGCTCTGTCGGTCGTTCACGACGTCATCGACCTTCTCGAACATCGTTGATATCCCAACATGTACATATAGATAAATTTCATACCGAAATTCGGTCGACCGTGAAATCTGTTGCCTGATGTTCTATAGGCACCAAAGCCATGTAACGGATTTACGCAAGTGGTTACATGTAGCCAATTGGTTATGAAGGGTTTCCACATATGTAATGGTCACATTGGCAGGCCACTGGTCTCGACTTCCTATTAGTAGAAATGGCAACATATTTCTACCAATTACAGCAGTAGGGCAAATACCTTCCATATAAAATATCACTTTTAGGAGGAAACCCAAACAAATTACCGTAAATCGGCTTTATTTTACTTATTTAAGTAAATCTATACGTTCGGATAAAATAGTTAATCTAAGTAAAAAAAAAATACTTTACTCTTCCTCATACAGGTGAGCACACGAGTAAGCCGAAGTAGTGGGCACACGCTAGCACGTTTCACCTCTGATGTGGACCGTGGGTCAAGATCCTTTATCACGTCACAAAAACATTTTGCTCCGTCGCAAGCTTTCTCGTTGTGTTCTCCATAATTCGCTAGCCAACGAGTTCAAAACTGGAAGGGCCTCCAGCAAGTCTGAAATCTGCAATGTTTGCAGTGGTTCCGGGAGATTCATGTTGTCGCTCTGAGCGCCGCGGAACAAAAGAATCAAGACTCTTACATGCATACGTCACTGCCGTGATAGCGTTGTGGACTTCTTGCTGCGCCCGGGTTGGACGAAAACGACCGTTACTACGGACGTCGTCGTCACACGCAACCAAGTCCGATATATGCAAAAGACGAGAGGCTTCAGGAGCTGTCTGCAGAGATTGGTAGTAGCGGTAATAGTCTGGTAATATGTAATAGTCAAGTAATAGGGAGCTAATAGTCCGACTATTAGGAATATTTTAAGCTCGTTTTAGTAATAATAGAT